CTGATGTCAAATGTAATCGCATCATTGGTCACTTTCACAACAAAGCGTCCTTGAATTGTTTCGCAACCCACATATCAAAAAGCTGACCGAATTGTCTTTTGTACATTCCTCGTTTGAAGACACCTGAATGAATGAATATTGTAGGTTGATCTTCGATGCTGGTCGTGGCCAACGAACTGCGCTGCACCTGGCCTTTCGCATGAAAGACAAAAAGATTCTTCTGACCGCCACCCTGAATGGGACCAAAAACATCGAGGAGAAAGGGATGGACTCTTTCCTCTTTGGACCCGGACATGACTTTGAAGTCACCACAATGAAGACGTTGACAGTGTCATTTGGCAAACATCTCCATAACTGGCGTATCTGTCTATTGGTGGGCCGCAAGGTGGTCTGATGGTCATTTACATCTATTTCAGTGCACTATACGTGCCCAGACACCTCTTGACAACCAGCCCGTCGTTTTGTCTGGAATTGACAGTGAAAGAGCTCTTCGCCAGCACATTGCTCACACTGCTGTCGTGTCATTCAGGTGATCATCAGGTGCCATGTGGACCGCTTCCACCTGAGTGTCGACGGCGCCCACCAGCTGGAGGTCGTGAACTGGGTTGGAGACCCGCAAAGCATGACGGCACTAACTATCGGGGATACCGTTACTGTTGCCGAGGGACGTGAGGCTGATGTGACGTGACCGCCGCGGCCAGATCGGAAGCCCCACTTTCTTCAATCGTCATATTGTCTCTGGGGGGTTTCTCGACCATTAATTACTCCACGAGTCAATGTTTGGTTGCTGTGGAACAAATACACTTGAGCATTGCACGTGCATGCCTCATCTATAGTATGCTGAATTCAGATAATGAAGGTCGCATTGACTTACATTTGACGACTATCACTGGTAGCTCTTCAAATGGAGGGAATTCCTCTGCAAAACTCGTTGTTACCCTAGCTTAGTTTTACGATATTTGCCGAATTTATGGGTAATATTAAAACTATTGTCCACAGCTAGACTCAAGCTAAAATCATTCGCATTGCATCTAACGACTCCACTACGAATTGCCAGCGAGAACCTTCATTCCAAGCTATTTACAGAAATTATACGTAGCGGAGAACGCTAAGGTACACCAAGCGGGAGAAGACACTGTTTCGGGAGAGAAATAAGAGACTAGGTTGATTAACCTCTGGTGAATAAAGAGCAGGTCGCCTGTTGAGTACGTGTATGCCACTGACACGATTGTTACTTGTTTGGAACTATTTTGTGTTTGTTTGTTTGTTTGTTTGTTTGTTTATTGAACATAAAGCATATACAGTAATAATTTGACAGAAAATAAGGTAAATAAAAGAGTAAAGAGGAAAGAGAAATTAGTCATCATTCAACACAGTTATTATGTTCAAGGGAGTAGGAAGAAGTAAAGAACTTATCTAGTCCTACCCCGTGTTATATGTTTATATCTATTGAATCATTTTTATATCAATCAGAAAAGAAACAAAGTAAGAACAAAGAAGTTTCCATTAAGGCTCATACTTTACCCTTAACCGTGATATTTTTATACTTTTGGTTTGTATCGGGAATTTATACATACACACCCTGGCACTCTTGTGTTAATTTTCTCTTGTATTCATAATGGATATTTCAATACCTTTCTCTATTTATCAACCTAGTTCTGATTCATTATATTTAATGTTTAGAATTTATCATTTTAACTCTGATTGTTGTAGGTAGTTTGTACTATTTTTTTGAATTTGTTTTTGAACTCAGCAAGCGATTTACTCATTTTCAGGTCCGTTTCGAAATTATTCCACAGATTAACACCTTTGTTAGATATACTTCTTTGCTTGATGTTTGTTCTTGTTTTGAGTTTTTTGAATAAGTTGGTACCTCTTAATTCATAGCTGCTTTCTCGAATTTCGAAAAACTTCAGAATGTTTTGGCAGAGCAGGTTATTGTGTACTTTGTACATTAATTGGGCGATTTTAAAGTCAACCAGGTCATGAAATTTCATCGTATTTAATTTGATAAATAATGGATTTGTGGGTTCCGTATATTTCGATTTATTAATAATTCGAATTGCTTTTTTTTGTAGTTTTAAAATAGGGAGTGTGTTTGTTTTGCAGGCATTTCCCCATATTTCCACACAGTTGGTCATATATGGTAATAATAATGAAGAGTATAATGTGTACAAAGATCCCTTATTTAGCACTTCCTTGGTTTTGTAGAGGATCCCTATGGTTTTGGCAATTTTTCTTTTTACGTTATCGATATGTGGCTTCCAACATAGTTTTGAGTCTATTACTAATCCGAGAAACTTGGTTTCATACGCTCTTTCTATCTCAATTGAGTTTACCATAATTTTAGCTTGGTGTTTGATTGGTCTTGTGCCAAAAACAATTAAGTTCGATTTTTTCAGGTTAAGTGACAATTTATTTCTGTGGAACCAGTTTTTTAATTTGTTTAATTCGTTTTCTACGGTTGTCAGGAGCTGTTTCAGATTTATTCCAGAACAGTAGAAAGTTGTATCATCAGCAAATAGGACACATTTCAATTGTTTTGAGACCTTGCAGATATCATTTATATATAAGATGAATAGTTTTGGACCAAGCACTGACCCCTGAGGAACTCCATGAGTGATTTTCAGTTGATTCGTTTTTTTATTGTTGAGCTGCACGTACTGATATCTGTTTTCTAAATAACTTTTTATCCATTTATAAGCTACACCTCTAATGCCATATCGTTCTAGTTTTTTTAATAATATACTGTGATCTATTGTGTCAAAAGCTTTTTTTAGATCTAGGAAGACCCCAACAGTAAATTCTTTGTTATCTATATTAGTGGCTATTTCTTCCACAAACTCCATAACTGCCATTGAGGTGGTCCGTTTTTCCCTGAAGCCATATTGATTCTCACTTAACAGCGCATGTTTTTGTATAAAGCTATCAAGTCTGCGAGAAAATAGTTTTTCTAATATTTTTGAAAATTGTGGTAGTAATGATATTGGTCTATAATTTGTAAACAGATGTCTTTCTCCACTTTTATAAATTGGAATAACTTTAGCAATTTTCATTTTTGATGGAAAGATACCAGCTTTGAATGACAGGTTGCATATGTGCGTGAAAGGTCGCACTACATATTCTATAATCTGCTTTATTATTGTCATATCAATATTAAAGCAATCGGTTGACTTTTTATTTTTAAAAGTTTTTACAACATTTGATACTTCTTCTTGTTTTACAGCAGTAAGGAACATTGTGGAGGAGTTTTTTTCACGTATCTATCTATTTCAAACAAGTTTGTTGGATCAGGTATTTGTTCTGCTAGGTTACTGCCGATGTTGACAAAATACTCATTAAATTCAGTTGCTATTTCTGCAGTTTTTTCCAGAATAGTATTTTTGCCTTTGATAAAATACTCTGGATAATCCACTTTTTTAGGACTATTTCTGATTACTTGATTAAGTATTTTCCATATTTCTTGTGTATTACTTTTATTCTGCTCTAATAGTGCATGATAATGATCTCTTTTACTGGTTCTTATAATCTTTACTAGTTTATTTTTATAGGTCTTATATTTTTTTCTGCTTCTTTGGAAGGTTACCGTGTTCCATGTCCATATAAATAAAGGGGGTGGAGCTTCTCTGTGTTCATCTGACAGTGACTGCGCTGAGACACGTCGAGAGTTCAGCGGGGCAGTGTCTGGATGGGATTTTCGGTTCATTTGGATCGGATCAGTGAAAAGAGCCGGCCCTTTTAGGCTCTCAAACGGCTCTTTCAACTTTAGCTTTTCTTTTAAATATTTATGACAAATTTAGCATACATTTTGATAAATGACCTGGTGAACTAAATATTGCACTCGACTGACTGCAAATAGTAATAGTAATTTATCAAGCAAAGAAAAGGGTTTTTACTTATTTCATTGAACATTAAAAAGGCTCCAAACAATAAACAAAATTAAACTTCAACCAACAACAAACATGCTGCATCATAACAAAAATAGTGAGTCGTAACTGCAACAGCAGCAGCGAACAAAACAAACATAAGCTACTGCTTGTTTAATTTTAAATTTGCATTCAACAAAACTAAATACTTCAACTTGGATGGGCTGATTCGGCTCCTTCTCTCAGTAATTATTTGTAACCTACCAAGCCCCTTGCCACTCCCCTTTCTCTTCCCGCCTCCCTCTCTGAGCATGGTAGCTGAGCCACTGCCAAACCTCGCTTCAGACCGGCTCTCATCATTTAATTCAAAGAGCCGGCTCTTTGTACCGGCTCGTTTGCGACCGACACATCACTAGTGCAGTGGTTGCGACCACACTGAAAATAAGAAAACATCTCCAGTGTTGTGCCTTGAAACAAGTGGAGTCATTCGAAATGATGTCTACACAAAACCATCGAAAGACTTCCGCGCAAGACGGACCAACAGACTTGAGAAAAACAAAGTTTGCAACCATGGCTTAAATCCACTAGAGTACTAGTTTACCTTAGATGTGAACTTTATAATTTTATATTGCTCTGTTTTGATTCCCTAAAAATAGCTGTTAAAGGAGCTGTTGTGTGACAAAATATTTTTTTCACTGTTGTTGATAGACAGTAATATTTTGTGAGAAATTATTTGTGAATAACTGCTCCAAGTGAAAAATGTTCATGTAAAATTGAAAATCGAAATTGTTGTTTCAGTAAATATGAGCATTTTGCACTCACACACACACACACACACACACACACACACACACACACACCAGTTTTATCCACATGGTGATGCCTGCTAAAGAAGTCTTTGTGAACAAAAACTTTGGCTGGACAGAATATCAAATGGTCCTTTGTTTTTGTGTGGAAGAAAAGTTCCAAATGTTACAATACCATGTTTGTGAATCTTGTTATCATTTTAGTTACATACAGTATACAGCATATATATTACATATATATATGGAGAGGGAGAGAGAGGGAGGGAGGGAGGGAGGGAGAGAGAGAGAGAGAGAGAGAGAGAGAGAGAGAGAGAGAGAGAGAGAGGGAGAGAGAGAGAGAGAGAGATCTATACGAAGATATATCATTCCGCCATAGCCTCCAAAATGGTGGCTCATGACGTCACGACACGCAGTACAGGAGCCTTGTTGACGTGCTCAGTCAGTGTGATGAAACGCTTTTGTCGTGTCGCCTTTTATTTGACAAAGCTCAAGAGTCATGTCGAAAGGACCAAGAGGATTTGAATGCACCCACAGCTGATGAATTATCTTGGGATCAGGAGCGTTTCGGGATAAACTAGGTATGTGCGTCAAACGTCAACAGTTAATATTCTTCGAAGCCAACATTGTCAGAAATACAATTTCAACAAGATACCAGTGATATTAGGATCGTTTTCCTGTTCCAAATATTTATATATTGTGTATTGAAATATTCTGGCAAAATTAATAAGTCTGGAGATTTTATGTTTGACCTTTTTGTTGAATCCGAGAGTCAAATTTGCTTTCTCAATATACATGATCTGTGTGGTTCCTGATTTTCCAAAGACCGCTGCTAATTGGAAATCTTGGTCAACATAGAAACAGACGACATACAACAATTTTGATCAGTAATTGGTGAGTCCAAGTCGTGGACAATATATAAATTGTCGACATTGGATTATCGTACAAACTGCCGAATCGATTTTTCTAAACATTAATCATCCTGGACGAGATGACGCGAGCAGCGGGATTTTGGTATTGCTGTCGGGTTTCGCGGGCTCTTTTAGCGGCGGAGGTAATTTTAACAAGCGGGGCCACGGAACCGGACGACGAAGCCGGCCGAATTGCCTCAGTTAAAAGCTAGCTACTCAGGACTACGCTTTCGAACCTCTCCCACGCCGATCCGTCACAAACAAAACGGGTGATCTGGAAGTGCAATTAGCGGGAAGACGTTATGTCGGGCTGTTGTATTTCTGAATAGCAGAATCTTGCTATACTTCAGTGAACCTGTACCTGAGGATAACCGTGGCACAAGCTGAATTTTCATCGCCAAATGAATATGCCCATTAATGCGCAGTATACACCTTATGATAACTTCATTGAATGCTTGACAACTTCACTGAATGCTCATGACCGTAGTTGTGTGAAACATGCTTCAGAAAATTAAGTGAAAACAAACAGGACACTGAACTGTGACCTACTGTCATAATAATAGTTAATACATTTTGGAATACACATGGCCACAGCTCGTTGAAGCGCAGCTATGGTGGTTGATCACTTGTTTTCATTTTGGTGCTTCAAAACTTGCCATGAACAGTAAAATGTTTGGGGTTGTGCCTTTATTTTAAAAAAATGTGTGCATGTATGTGTGTGCAATTTGCAATGTATAAAGGCCACTGCTTAACGAATTATTTTACGAGTGATTTATTCTTGAAGCATTAATATTAAATATATATATACAGTGGGCGGCCCGGTGATCAAGTGAGTCATTAGCGCTGTCACGTACAGTGGTGGTGGCGGACCCCAAAAAGCAGGCAAAAAAGCAGCAAGATGGAGGAGCAGGGTGGACTTGACAAATTGTTTTGATAAAAACACAGAAAACTAAATCCAAAACAAAGTAAGAAGAACAAAAAAAGGAATCCAATAGAAATTTTAAGATATGAAAGGTAAAAAATACAGTATGTGCTGCTACTCGCAGCTCCGATTTTTCTGAACGCAACACACTCATAGCTGCTCTTCCATTGGCTATTACCAAGCATCATCCTGGCATCCCATTGGCTCAGAGGGACCTCTGACCGTATGCAGCGTCCTCGTCATTCATCCCTTGGGCAATGAGGTGATCCGATGGTTTTACGAAAATGTGAATCACCCAGAAAAAGTGTTCACCAGTCGGGCGATCGCTCACGATGCTGATGCTTGTCTTGGACATTTTCGAAGGATTGTTAAAAGCCGACAAAAACAATACGGTATGCAAAAACCACTTCTGAGAGAGAACATGAACTAAAGAGGGCAAAAAAACGAGGACAAAGTTAAAAGTAAAATTACCGTCTGTTTTATTCTTTATTCTTGGTTTTTTAAATGATGCACAACTCTTAATTTATTTCTTACATATTTTTATGCATTTCTTTATGCTTCATAAAGCAGTTATGTCTGAATTTTCGGGGGCTTGGAACGGATAAGGACATTGACAGGGAAAACGCGTTTCTACTTCCAAAATGTTCAAAATAAGACATTTCTTCCAGAACATATCCATTTATAAGTAGAGGTACCACTGTCATGTATGATACGTGTCTTCGGGCTGCATCTCTCACCATGTGTTCTGTTTTTAACAGTGATGGCTATTCCCCAGGCACTTTATATCCTGCTGTGGAAGAAAATCACCCACTGCAAACGTAACAAGGTGCTGTTCTTTTTTGCTTTTGATTCTTCTGTTTAATTGTGTTCAGAAACAAGAGTTTAACTCTCAAAGCTGATTTGCTGGGTTTCACACAGCAATGTTTTTGGAACATTAGACCTCACATATCAAAGGGAAAAAGTTGACAATTTTGTGTGGTGTAAACCAGATGACCAACACAATTAGATTTTGCTGGCTGCGTGCGGTGGGGCCACTATGACCAAGCAGCTGCACAGGAAATGTTAAAAAAAAACGGATGAGAGGGTGGGGGGGACATGACAAACAGCACACACAACACATATCTTCTCCGAGAACCATGAGGTGATACCCCTCTAAAAACACAATTCCAAAGAAGTTAAGTACAAAAACATGGTATTTCGTGGACAAACTAATGAACATTATTGTTTTACGGGGAAGTTTTCTCATTGTGACGCTGCGAAAAAAAGGGATGCCGGAAACAAAAGGCTGTGTAAGTTTAAGAATGCTTCAAAAACAAACAAAAAAAAAAAAACCCAGCTGTTTGGAATGTTCTTTAGGTGAACAGGTTAATTAGAAACATGGACGGGTATGAAAGGAGCATCCCCAAAAATCTTTGTTGGTTAGTTAAGTTAGTTGTAGTTAAGATGGGAGTATGGGTCACCACAGTTTCAGAAGTTTTTTTTTCAAATTAGAATTTGGAAGTCCTACATGGAACTCAAAAGTAGTCTGCGAAATTTATGGCAAGGTGCAGCTTATTCCATTTATATGCAATTTTTCATACCGCATGCTAAATGTCACGGACGAACAGGCTTCCCTCACACTGCAGCGACTGATACCCAATTCAGATTTTTTTTTGTCTGATGTTTTGATGTTTTCTTTGACATTACACAAACAAATGCAACGTCAAATGTTAACGGAATACATCTGTGATGTGCCACGCATGCGCACAAAGTCCGCCGTCATGTGACCTGCACAAAATAGATCACGCAGCAGTGTAGCTCTTTCATCCTTCTCTCATGGCCGCCTGCGATGTTTGGAGTAATTTATTCTTCTTATTATTTTTTTTTTATGATGGTTTGTATTTATGTAAATGTAATTCCGAATTTGAAGATTACCACCATATCGAAATATTGAACTTTTTGACCCTTTCCTGGAAGGTAAATGAAGGATACATCCAAGAAAATATTTCTGACAACAACAGTACATTGTAATGCTAGATGAGCATTTTTTAAATTTTGCTTCCACCACTGATGAAACTTGTTTACCGGTACGTGCGGGGAATACAAAACAGATGGTGCATTTTGGTTTGCATAATCAATTCAGTGCTGGTGGATAATCTTGGGTTGACTGCACTATCCAGGATTACATGTAATAAAATGATCAAACACAGAAGCGGGAGGGGATCTACGGAGGTGGTAGAATTGTTTTGTGGAAATGAGATGATGCGTTTCTCTTCAGACATCTACTATTGATGACATCACATTTCAGACATCACAAGACTCATTTCCCAAGGGAGTTTTTCCCTTTCAATGACTTGGATTTCGTCTGTCTGAATTGAAAATAATGCATAAAAACAGAAAATCAAGCGAGGAAATGACAAAAAAATTCTATGGCCCCCCCTACAGAATTAATTTTTTTATTTCCTCGTTTGTGAATACAGGACACAACAATTCACTGACATCTGATCGTTCTTTTGCATCTATGCTCAAGGAAATGCCAAAATTAATTCTATCGAGGCGCTACAGAATTTATTTTGTGATTTTCTATTTTGATGCATTCGTGTATTTTCAATTTTCGTCGTTTCATTGAAGTCATCGTGAATTTAAGTTTTTTTGGAGTCGGTCATGAACGCATCTCGAGTCAAATGAAGTGCTGGAGCTCCATCTAGTGCAGGGGTGGCCAACCAGTCAGAGACAAAGAGCCAATTTTTTTTACTGTGTTACTGAAAAGAGCCGCATCATACCCCTTCCTCTCGCACGCACACACACACACACACACACACACACACACACACACACACACACACACACACACACACACACACGTGCGCTCGCACGCACTCATGCCGGTGCCCATGCGCTCGCGCATATATGCACACACGCCACGATGAGCAACAGTCGGAACGGGCTGAAATGAACAAAAGCGAAAGATACAAACAAACAAATCTTTTTTTTTTCCCCCCACCCATTTCTTCTTCCTACCCCTTGCGGTTGACTTGGGACCAGTTCGCTGGCTCCCAGTCGATTCTGATCCATGTATTGGCCACCTTTTAAAATCAGAGATAATTCGCTGACTCGCTTAGCGTCGTTGTTTGCGCATGAGCGGTGATGCAGTCATCTGATTGGTTGCCCTCTTTGTCAATCAAGTAATGTGATTGATGATAGGCTGATGTAGTACGTTCTGTGGAGTTAGCGCCTTCGTTTGAATGGCATCGCCACTGCCAAGGTGTTTTTGACGCTTGTCGTGTGAAAGCCCGGGAGCCGCATTGAACTAGCCAAAGAGTCGCATGCGGCTCGCTCGCCGCGGGTCGGCCATCCCTGATCTAATGGATGCATTGTAGATTGCGCCTTATAGTCCAGTGCGTGCAATATATGAAAAAAATTACAAAATAGGCCATTCATTGAAGGTCAGTGTTGTGTCCAAGGACCGGCAACCCGAGGCCAAGGCCAAGGACTTGGAAAATTTTCCGAGGCAAGGCCAAGGCCAAGGACAAGAGAAATTTTCCGAAGCCAAGGACCAAGGACTTGCCTCCGAGGCCAAGGCCAAGGACCAAGGACTGATTTTGAAGCCGAGGCCTAGCTGAGGACATCTATAAAACAATGCTATCATACCACTTGGCAGGTCTTCATGATTTGCAACACCCCTCCATCATAACCCCTTGCACATGTCACTCCCTAACGCTTGAATGAAGTGTTTTTATTCAAAGAGTAGAACAGTCAAGGTACGTGTTGTTTATACTGAGAAAAAAAAATTACATTTATGAATTAATGTTTTAGTGCAGTAATTTTTTAATATGAAGTAAATCAACACTCAACAGGCATGACATGGCATGGAAGACAAGTTGAAAAATGACTGCATAGAAGTCAATCACTGCAGAAAAAGCAGAAATCTATCAGTGATAATTTTACAGTTTACCGGCAGCAGACTCGCTGAACAGAAAAGTATGAGGCCCATTATGCATTGAGAGAGTCCCAAATTTCGAATTCTGTAACGGTCTATTTATTCAATTGCATATGATAATAAAACAAACAACAACATTTACATACAATTATAAACAAATGCTTCAAAAATTTTTATAATTCAGTAGCAGGCCTGAGGATTTCGGAAATTCAGGGTAACCGTTTTTCGGTTCCGTCGGATTACCCAATGGGAAACCACGGTAACTAATGTTGGGTTCCGTAAACGTTCATCATGGGAACCCATTTTTCTATTTTGACTGATATTCATAATCAAGAATTCTGAAACTCAAAAGTATAATGTTTCAAGGGTAAATGTTTGAAAACTATGCATTAACAATGAACATTACATCAGCAGCTGTGTACGCCAGGTTTTTTCCAAAAAATAAATGGATCAGAAACTGGTGTACTCATGTGGCATCATCAGTGTTTTTTCCAATCTCACACTGCAAAGATTAATTTACTGGTAATCATTAATACAGGTAAATATTGATGTGGCTTGACAGCCTCTTCCCAAGACGATGCATGTGTAATCTACAATCAATTTGACGAAATAATCTAACACACGTCATCATTAGTTCTACCAACAGTTAACATTCGCATTACGACACCTTGTGACGAATGTTTTATTCATAAAGTTACCATGCTCTACAACCAGTAAATTATAGAATAACCAATACTGTTAAATCATATTTTTCATAGCGATTACCTTATAGATCCAATGACCAATTTGCCTCGTAATCGTGCCTCGCGTTGTATCTCGCTCTCGTGTTCTGTGCATATGTCACAGGTGAGTTTAGTGATACGCCCTTTGGACGATTCATCCGAAAAATTAGACTGGCATTCCCATTTCTTAAATGTCGTAATTCGTAGACCTTGGTGAGTTTTTTTCGCCGTCATCTCAAACTTTGATCCACGCGATTCCTCAGTTTGTGGACTAAAATAGCAACCCTCATGCGCACATAATGTTATCTGTTGCGTCCCCCCCAACACTGAAAACAAAACAAAATGAAAGCGAATTAGAAGAAACACACTCACAAACCACACCACACCACAAACACACATACAGGCGCAGTGAAATCGCATTGATCACACAGTCAACTCGTGTGCGGTGACTTTTATAATTAAACTATTTTTCGGTACTGTTCTCGCTCTCTTGCGTATGAGGGTAGCTTTGTGGTGTTAAATGTCCAGACGTTGCAGCCATTGGACAGTGGATTCATTAGGTGCTGTGAGGTTCAAGTTGCTTTCTGGTGTTCGATGAATGAGACAATAGTAGATGAGATGTTCTGCAGTTTGGGGTTCTGGTCCACAGTCGCAGAATGGTGATTCGACGAGACCCCTGTTCTTAGGCAGTTGAGTCGTACCCAGACTTTCCGGGGTAGCGTTGAGCCAGGTGGGGGTTCGGTGTTAGGTTGGACCGTGAACTGGTTGGGTCTTGCAGTTTTATCCCAACTACTTCTCCACGCTTCCAGGATGTTAAAGTTGGAATCATGAAGTTCTGCAGCATGATGAGGGAAAGCGGGGCGAGATTTTAGCCTTTGGCGCTGTCCAGGTTGTACCTCGGCGATCAACTGGTTTAGGGCATGGTTTTTGTCCAGCACAGCATGTTGAGCAAGGCAGTGAATAGCTTTTTCTCTACGTAAGCTGGCTGGGGCAATGCCTGCCAATACTGGTAGGAACTCCGTGGGGGTGGGACGCAGACATCCGGTGATTGTCCTCATGATGTCGTTGAGGGCAACATCTATCTTTGAATGGGTACTTCGGCACCACACTGGTGTTGCGTATTCAGCTGTGCTGTAAGCAAGCGCAAGAGCACTTGTACGGAGTGTGTGAGTGCTTGCACCCCAG